GGTGCTGTCTTTAAAAACCTCATTCTGGAACCTGAGCACAGCCACACCATCTCCCCAGGAATGTTCAAAATTAATTCCTGCGGTGCCATCCTCAGCTATGATAAGATTAAAGGATTTGTCATACCAGCGGTTTGCAGCGTCTCCATGCAACATAGTGTGGGACAAGTGCACTAAGTCTTTAATGGGAAAATCATCTAAACTTAAACAAAACATGGCAGAGTCTACTTTTTGAAGAGCTTCTTCATTACCATTGTCCAGTAGATGCTTCCTCAGCAATGCCCATGTATCTCGGTTTTCACTGGTTAGGTAGCCAAGAGGGAAGGCCGGGGCCGGACTGTTGTCACTAAGGATGTATTTCAAGTGTGCTTGTATTTCTGAGGGTTTCAACATGTTTCCATCTCTATCAATAACATCAAACACATAAAAATTTCCATTTCTCAACACTAATAAATGTTTTGCCTTTTCATCTGTATAAAGCTCATCTTTGTTGAGCTTAGGAATCCGTGTAGAATTGAAAAGTCTGAAGTACTGAGACATATCTAGGGGGTAAGCATTGACCATGTAGGCACCAAACCAAGAAATCGAAGAAGGCACAAATCGGATAATTTTTTTAAAGATCTCAGTGTCACTTTTTTCTGGATTGAGGTGAAAAACCTCTGGTTCAAGGTAACCAGCCCTGAAGGTCTTCATAAAACGTATGGCAGAAACAGTCATGTTCGTAGCTCGTGTGAGCTGATCATTGTATTCTGATTTCGGATCAGGATTAAAAGACATAAATGGATTAAAATTCAAAAGAATAGGCTCACGTGCTTTTAGGTACATGTCAAACCAGGGACCTAAAAATTGAGAGAAAGAGGTCAGAACATAAAATCAGCTTCCTGAGTCAGACAAGAGCGTTGTGTAGCCCAACAGTGATCATGAATAAACACACACTAAAATGCCTTTAAACAAGACAAACATATGAAATAACTCACCCGAGGCTTCTCCAAACCCCCATTATTAAGAAGGATAGTGTTGGCTAATCATAAAAATACTCAGTTTGGAATAATCCATTTAAGGGTGTCCATATTATTGCAACAAAGGCCAACTCCCTGTTTTCTTTATGGCTCAATGATAAACCTTAACTGCCAGGACATATAGAGCAGCTCCCCAGCTCTGTTTTGGTGCACGCCTCACATTTAGAGTGGTTCCTGCCTTTACCTACTCTTAAACTATTAATTTCTACAACTCTCTGTCACTGAGTGCATCTTGCTGAGGTTAAAAGGCTGAACCTTCTACGTGTAAGAAGTTCCAGAGGCTAAGTTACAACTTTAACTACAGGTTCTCAGTGATGGGTAAGCAACACTCATCTACAGTTTTAAAACCACATCTGACATCAACATGTAGCCTTTTAATGCCAGGGTGGAGACAGCTCTACATTCTTTCAGAAACCAATTTCAAGAGGAACAGGTCTTTCATGATGCATAAAGAAGAAAATTAACTGAACAAAAAGCAATATAGACACCCCACCATTCACAGGCAAAAAGCAGCGTACTGGTTAGCACTGTTGAACAACATAAAGACACCACTTAAAAGACAAGATGTTGTTCAAAGTGAATGGAAAGTAAAATACAACAAACCAAACAGCAGCCTTTGTGAAATAATCTGGTATTCTCTACAGACTGAGTGACAGCTAACATCTTAACAGGCAGTGTGAACATAAGGGACAGAAGTGCATTCACTGGGCAACATGGAAACTTCTACTTCCATAGTGACTACTTCCATCTCTGCTGCTATTGAATACTTTCATGAGCAGACACTTGTATGTGGAAGCAATAATAAAGTGGAATAATCAAAAGTAATAATCATCTATACACAAGCTCTCCCTCTCCTGATTTTTTCTATTTATTCTCACTTTCCTATTTCTGTCACTCTTTTTCTTTGGCTCTTTAAAAGAATATAGTTTTGTAGTTTTAAGGGCTTTTAAGTCGTGAGTACTGACCACTTCTGCCTCCCTAACTTGGTTATATTCTGTGACCCCTCCTCTCCCTCAAAGTTTAGTTTTCTTGATAAATAACATGAAATTATTTGGAAATGATTGCTTCAGTTTCCTTAAGATAAGTGCTAGATAAGCTCCTCTTTAATCTAAACCCTATAAACTCATGAAAAAATACCACTGTTCCAGTATCTATCTACCCAGAATTCTGGTAGAATAGATGAAATTAGATAATGAGCATTCTTCTTTCTACAGCCTCTGAAATTGCTCAAATACAGCCACAGAGAGCATTCACAGCAGGTTATTCCAAGTTTCTGGGCTACTTAAAGCTTCAGCTTATTATATTTATGGCATTATGAACAGTTACAAAGGTCCTACACCCAGCAGAACAACATACCTGTGATGTAACTTGTATGCTTATTCTGATTGTCCTGAGCAACCAGTTGCTCATGCAGCTCTCTTCCAATCCCCTTTTCAAAGGCATGAGCAAGTTCTTCTGTTTTCCTACAACAATCAAGAAAAGTGCCAACATGCTGTCACAAGTCACACCTCTTATGTTAACACTTGGCTTTGAAGCAGAACGTGACACTGCAATGTGTGTTTGTCCATACCTGAACTGGTCAGCATTTAAAAGCGGTTTCTGGGCATTCAGGTATCTTGTAATTGTATCTTCTAGCTTGGGAATTGGTAGTCTGAAGGAAGTGGAACACAGATGTACACTTGATGAGCAAGGGTATGAGTGAAGCCTGTGTTTCTTACACAGTCATCTCTCTTTGCCTCCTTTCTTCCATATCCTTCCTTATACTATTATATATATTATACATACAAACATATTAAACACATACTATACAGTACATACTGTTATATAAAAATTTGACTAATACTTACGCACATTATCCTAATGTCTCATAAGTTTCTTGTGGAATAAGTTAAGCAACTAGCTGGACACCATAATGTTCTTGGGAAATAAGGCGGAAACCCAAACTGACTGTCTTTTTACAAAAGTACTGCAGTGATGGGAGCTAATCCCTTACAGGACACAGAGTGACAGGAACCGCTGCTAGGAGAGGCAGCTCTGTAGAACGAAGAGCTCAGTTGCCAGCCCTGTTCGAGCTACCTCCTCACAGCTGGGTGCTGGACATCTCTTTCTCACAAATTTCCTATTCGGTATCTTTGTCACCTTCCTCTGAGCCTGAGTTTTGTTTCCTATAGCACAATCCCGTTACACTCACGGGGTCTGGGCGCCAGGGGGATGTTTCGGTAGCAGGCTTGTAACCGGTTACGCTGGCACTTGGAAAGCCGAGCCAGCTCCTCTGCGGACCGCTCGCACAGGGCGAGCCGCGCACCGCCGTGCCCAGGGCGGACGTTCCCTCTGCCCTCTCCTCACAGCGGACACCCCGCGCCGCCGCCGCCGCCGCGCCCTGCCGCGTTCCCCCGGAGCGGCGGGCCCCGCCGTACCTGGGCAGGCTCTTCTGGTAGTGCATGGTGGGCACGATGCTGCGGTGCAGGAACTCGGCGGCGCCCGCGCCGCTGTAGCCGCGCCGCCCCGGAGCCGCCCTCAGCAGCTGCCGCGCCGCCATGATGGGGTCAGGCCCGCGCGGAGCTCCGCCCGCCGCGCCCGGGGCTCCGCCCGCCGCGCCCGGGGCTCCGCCCGCCCCGCCCGGAGCTCCGCCCGCCGCGCCCGGAGCTCCGCCCGCCGCGCCCGGAGCTCCGCCCGGGAACGAACGGAAAAAGCGAATCGATTTTTTGTTATTCCATTCCAACAGCCAATGGGATACCTGGTGCTAAGGTAGCAAAGTTACCAGGGGCAGTTCAGCATCAGTCCTCTTACGTACACATTAATAAAGCGTTCTGATTCATTAATAAAATTTTCTGCAATCCTCTTGCTTTTCTGCAATCCACTTCTTTTTGTTTTATGTTCAACATACCGACTCTATGTATTTTTTCTTTAATTTCCTCCCACCCCGCTTTTTTTTCCTGTGTACGTATCCATATGTCCTACCAACTACACAGGATTGAGATCCTGCCCCCCAAAAGAACAGTTTAATCTCTCCTCAGTTTTTTCCACTCATACATGAGCATGCAACAACAAATACCTGATCACCGTATAAAATGTAATATTATAAACACACAACCGTGTTGTACTGTGAGGAATATTTTCCATAAAAACATTGAATAATCTCAGAATATACCAAAAACTACAGAAATGCTTTAATAAGAAAGCATGGCATGTGAATGGTTATGGTGGTGTATTTTTATCAGATGCTCACTAGCATAAAAATCATCAGCATTGGGATTGAATGTGGACACAGCAAAGGAAAGGAAAGCAATCCCTGTGGCTTAGTCTGATAATCCTCTGAAAGTAAATTGGCCCTACTCTAATCAACATAGTGGTTGGAAGAAAAGTGAAATCATTTCACTTCCAAGATAATAAATGCCCAGTGACAGAAGGTGTCCTTGCATGTTCCCTTCTGTGGCTATTTCCGGTTTGATGCGTCTCTCATGCTGCTCATTCATCCTTTTTTTGGCAATGAAAACAAAAAAACCCAAGCCTGATTTAATTAATGAAGTCCAGTTTCACCTAGCTTGCCCTGCTCTGATAGTCCTGTTCTAAACGTTACCTGCTGTGCCCTTTGGGAAACTGCTCTGTTCCCTGTTTGAATGCTGGCTTGCAGGGTTGCCTTTCTGGGTTTGGGTGTCCAGACCCCAAACTGGGGAGGCTGAGGAATGCATCGCCTCTCCCTCATGAGTGTCACTTTGTTTTGAACTAGTCTTGTTTTAGAAATACTACTGCATTCTGTTCTAATTTTCCAGAGCCCCCTAATCTTCTTCCAGGCTCTTAATGATGTAGTTGATAATAGGATTGTTGGTATTAATTTGGAACAATAATGCCAGCTGCTTGCTTGCTGGCTATTGGCAGAAGGGTGACCTTGCAGGTCAGCTAAGCAGAACTGGAAGTGCTTTGATCTGATCTATACAGAGCCAGATCTGTGCACCCGAACAAGAGGAGCAAGTGAATTCTCTCCCCATGGGATGCTGATTCTTCTCCCAAGAGCAGGCAGGACAGCATGGCCGTGGCCCTGGACGCAATCCTCGCTCGGATCAAAGATGTTTGTAAAAGGAACGGGCTGCTCATCCTCTCCGTGTTGTCCGTCACCATTGGCTGCCTCCTGGGATTCTTCCTGAGGACAAGGCGACTCTCCCAGCAGGTAAGAGCAGCTCACAGCAAGTCCCTGCAGAGGAAACGCCAGACTTACATAACAAAAGACGTGTGTACCTTGGGGAACTTCAGGGTGGGCTCTGGAAGGTAAAAGTCACGTGTATGTGTTTGTTAAAATTGTTTCGTTTCTTCTGTTTGTCAATCTATGATGTTCTTTGGGTCTTTACATGCGTTCTCAAACAATAGTTAGCAAAGGGTTCTGGTCTCTCAGACACCTGGGAAGCACAGCAGGAGCACAGCAGAATGTTGCAGGTATGGATAATAATAGTGGACATTTAAGTTAGATGAAATGTAGCATTTAATATAGGCCTCCAGAAACTGGTAGTGCAATACATTGCATTTTATACTGTTTTGGAACACATACAGATAAAGAAAACACTGGGAATATTTTTCAGCATCAGATACACAGGGATGCAGATGTTTATAGTACACTAATGGTGTTTCAGATTAATAAATTTGAGATTTCCCATCATTAGTGAAGTCACTTGAGAAATTCTCCCCTAGCATACTTCAACTAAGCTGGTGCTCTTTTTTGCTGGATCAGTCAGACAGACTAGACAACAACACACATTAATTAATGTACTGTTTGAGCACAAAATAGAAATCTCAGTTAAAAAATAAGGCATTTAGTGAATGCAACTAAATTAAACGAATTCTGGCCTCTGCTACTGCAAACCACTCTCTGTCTGAACATCGTTTGTGTCCAAGCCATAGCTCCAAACACATCTAGGAAAAATGAAAAAATGCAGAATGGAGATTATTCAGGCAACTGATTAACAGTAGTCTCCAAGAGATGGCACATTGCATTTCTGTCTTCTTTTGTAAAGGAATGAACAATGCAGTGTGTTTATTGAACAAGAACACATTATGTAATCTAATTCATTTTAAAATTACCTTTTAAAGCCTGCTATCTTTGCCACCTTGTCTTTGCACCAAGGGTGCAGATTTTAGCAATGCTATCTGATTCACAGCTCTAGCAGCACTTGTGAAGACAGTCAGTCTTTAGCTCAAAACAATAAGCATCTCTCCATGTATTTCCAGGAAATTAGTTACTTCCAGTTTCCTGGTGAGCTACTGATGAGGATGCTGAAAATGCTCATTCTCCCTCTGGTTGTCTCAAGGTAAGTGAAGACAATAATTATTCTAATAACTTTTGAAGTTTCCTAAATGAGATTTGTCATCACAATGGTTTAGTTGTGACTGAATTACGTGACAGTGCCAGAGGCATCACTGCTGCTGCACATTCATATTTATAGTGGAGCTATAAACATGCATTTTAATTGATACAATAATTTCTGCCATACATCATTTCTACCTCATATAGGTATTATTTGCTTTAAAACTAATGAGATGGGGCTTTTAAAATTAGTTTTCTTTTTCCTTTGTAATGGGACTCTTTTCCTTCAAGCTACGTAGAAGTTAAATATATGGAATAAAGCCTGCCTTAAATCTAAACAATTGAAATAACACACTATACAAATACAATGAAAAAATACAGTTAATTCATAGTGTCCTGCAGTATTTTGAGGTGTTCTGTATGTGTTTATAGTATGATAAATATTGAAAAAACACTGTGTCTCCAATGAACTAATAATATACAGCTGGCTTTGGCTGGAAGTGAAAGTGATTTCTTCAATTGATAAGGTAGAACCTTTAGTGGTGGCACTTTAGTGGTGGCACTTTAGTGGTGGCACTTTCACAGCAGCAGAATTAAGGATAGTTCTGACTGGTGCATGGCAGCTGCCTTTGCAGTGGGAGGGTGTAACTTAGGGCCTGCTTTTCCCCAAGTTTGACTGCCCTCCCACTGACTGTAGTCCCAAAAACACACCACCTGGATGGCCAAAAACTCTCTCATGTGCCCAAGGCTGAGAGGTTATCAAAGAGATGGAAACTAACAAAGCCAACTTTACCAGAGCTGAGAAAAAATTACTGCAATATTTTATTCCAGTTCTGGGACCTAATTCATACATCAAGACCTCATCTTCCACTTAGAGAAAAAAACAAGTTTCTAGTCTTCAGATCACTGACAGTTGTTGAAAATGAACACAATTAACAGCACTAATTTTATTTTTATATAATCTACCCTGACATCTGCATTCTCATGGTTTTTCACAGAACAAAGCTGAGTCATGGTGCTTTGTGCATGAAACTGGTTTTATAACCCTAGACTCACACCTGGTCTTGGCAGATGCATCTAAAGAATACCAAGACAAAACATGTAAGGAGATTTTTTTTTTGAGATGTGAGAGTTTTCCAAAGAAAGCAAGAGTCTTACATGAGGAAGTGACATAGTGAGGAGGACAGAAAAGGGTTGGAGCATATTTACATGTCCTTCCCTAAAATGTGGCATTCTTTTGGTCCTCTAGTATATTTAGAGATGTTAGGAAGAGCAGCAGCAGTAGGAAAGAGCTTCTCTGGCACAACCTGTGCCCTAAATTGCTGGAGAGGTGGCAGCTCTGAGCCTCACTGTCACAGCAGCTTCACTGTGTCCTCTGAGGTGGAAAGATAAGAAACTTTACAAACCTTCAAAGAAGTTCAATTCTCCTTGCAAGTGTGAGTCCATCTTCCTATATAACGAACTAGCAGTGCCTGCTATTACAAACTGAAATGGCATTCAAACTACATTTCTTTGTGGATTTGGGATATCCTCAGCCTGTCGTGCCAGAGCACTGGCATTCAAATGATCATTTAAATTACTCTCTATTATTGTTTACAAAAGTCAGGAGGACAGCACCATAAAAAGAACTCTAAATATTGCTCTCCTAGTTGAAATTAATGCAAGTTTTTATTTGAACACACAAGGAATTACTTGTAAAGAAAAGGAGGGGTGAGAAAGGAAGATTAAAAGAGGGACTTAGGGCAAACTACCCTGTTTCCAAGTCCAGAGCTTATTTTGAAGGGTTGTAGCAGAAGGCAACAGGATAGGTCAGAAGGTTGACAATAGACTAGAAAATCTTGTACTTACAGATTGCAAGCAGAAATCCAGCCTTAAACAGAAATGGCTGAAAATTTGTACTCCCTCTCTTAACCTGATTGTTAAGAGAGTTAAAACAGAACTTTGCAGATTGAATGAGGAAAGTATTATACAGTCAATTATCTCGGAATGATGTTTATTTTAAAAGTTCCTTGGATGCAGAGGAAATCTGTCAAACAGGAGACAATTTCTTCAAAGTAGTTTCTTGATTTCCTGAACTTTGTTCCTGCTCCTGGAACTGCTCTATCCCAGAGCTCCTGTACCTATTTCTGAAATCTCCTGTCATCTGTGGTCTTACTTCTTTCTTTTCCCACAGACAGAAGAGCAACCATCACCCACTAGACTGTCAGTCTGAGCTCTGCATGAGCTTTTGTTTTTGTTGAGGCATGGACCTTCATTAAGGGTGGGGGTTGAAATTATTTCAGTTATCTGGTTACATAAACACATTTCATAGCATCATAGAACAACTCTGAAATAAGTACATATTTGTGGCACCCATCTTCTGCCTGAGATTTAGCCCTGCTCATATGTATCAGTATCCCCTGTGTGTAGAGTTTGCTCTTCTCAGTAAAGAGAAGAGGTGAGACAATACAATACTTCTGTTGGCAAGACAATTACAAATAGTTGACAGTTTGTGTCTGCCCAAGGGAACCTTACAAGACCAAATTTTAGAGCCTGTAGTTACTAGACGTGCGCTGCTTACTTTATGTGTTAACACAGGATACTGCTGTTAGACCTGGGAATGGAAATATTAAGAGAGCACGGAGAGAATAGGAGCCAAATCTGAATTTATAGTTACACATTTAGACACTGTCCAAGCTGTGCCACCCTGCAATGCACCCCGCGGCCACCGGGCGGCTCTGCCGGGACACCGAGCACCGCGCCCCGCTGCCCGCGCCGATCCCTCCGCGCTCCCGGGGCTGCCGCTGCCCGGGCTCCCGCATCCCGGGGCTGCCGCTGCTCCTGCCCGGGCTCCCACATCCCGGGGCTGCCGCTGCCCCTGCCCGGGCTCATACATCCCGGGGCTGCCGCTGCTCCTGCCCGGGCTCCCGGGGCCTGCCGCTTCCCCTGCCCGGGCTCATACATCCCGGGGAATGTCGGTACCACTGCCCGGGCTCCCGGGGCCTGCCGCTGCCCCTGCCCGGCCTCCCACATCCCGGGGAATGTCGGTACCACTGCCCGGGTTCCTGCATCCCGGGGGTTGCCGGTGCCACTCCCTATCCAGAAAATAATAAGCCTTCCACTTTTCTTTCGCTGTGGTTAGTTATAAACTCCCACAGACACACATACATATGTGATTCCTTCACACGTTCCCAGGACAAGTTGATTGGCAGAGATACCTGAGCATCACTTGAGCTTCTCAACTTCTTAAATGCTTGAAGTAAGCAATTTTGATGTCAATGTCTTTGTGCTCTGCAAGATGCAAAAGGCTGGGAAAGGAACAAAAACTCAACTCTCCCCTTAATATCTTCTCACATTTGTTAAAGACAATATAAACCCTCTGACCTGCTCCTGCCTGTGCCAGCTGCAGCATAGATAGGCCAGCCATGCTGGCAGGCATTGTGCCACAAACTCACACACCATCACCTTCCTTCAGAACATTTTTGTGCCCATTCCCTGCCCCATTATCTTCACCTCAGGAAGTTAATTCCAGAAGCCCACGCATTATTTCTCTCCTGTATATGTGAAATTTCACAGCCCTTTCAGGAACATGACTCTCTCTGAATGAACATGTCATTAGTAAGGGCTCTCACAAATAGTGTTGGACTGCACAAGCCCTGGTTGTTCAGAAAAGCAGGCTAAAGCCAGAGTTACACAGGTTTGCACCAGCTGAACACACTGAGTTCCCTTTGTCCTATATGTCTACCTATATATGTAATAGAAAGTTGCATCCTTTATTCCAGCACTCTCCTTGTTTATATGATTAAGCTTTTGTCTGGAAAGAGATACAGGGCCAAGTTTTCTAAGACTGTGATTAGCAGTCAGCAGTGAGAGTGGGAAAAGAATTGTCAGATCAGACTCAAACTGTTTAGCTGTTGTAACAGCTCAGTTACATTCCCTTTGGAAAAAGCAGTTTAGTTTTTTAAGCTTAGGAAGATTATTACATTTTGTATTTCTTTACCACCAACAATTTTCTAGATGTTTAAGAAATCATGAGCAGCAGAGATTTGATCCTTTTCCATGAGCAGATCCTGTTAAAGAAGTATTATTCCCTTTACAGTCAAAATAAAATACCTGATATGACCTGTATTTTTTAAATTATAGAGCTTGTTCCTCTGAGCATGTTGCACCTGATAGAAACAAATGTATGCTAATAAAATTTCATATTTATGTGAAGGCCCATTTGGGGGTAGTAATAAATATTAGTTACTATTGTGGTTTTGTTGATTAATTAAATACAATATTCTAAATATAGTACTGTCTTTCTTTAAAGGGATTCCTGTCCATAATGCCATCAGTTCTGGTAATCCTTCATCCTTCTGCTCACATTCCCAAGTTGGTGATTCTTACTCATGCTGTTCAAGCCTAGTATTTAATTAGAAACTTCTCTTTTTAGCACCCTTTCCCCAATATTTTTTCCCCAGTTCTCTGATTGAGGAACACACTGGCATTTGAACACCAAATATTGCTCATTGTGTTTTACTGGAATTCTGACATTGTTTGCCTGTGTGAGGCCATACCAAATTGGCCACTGGCCTGGGTAGGTTGTGTTGGGCAGTGTTTGTTTGCTCTCAGCTGCAGATGAAACTGGCAATAAACCTCACACTGGAGATTGTTCCTCTGTTTTGCTTCTTAAGATCATCCTTTGCTAGGGGTAAAATTTTGACCCAAACTCTCCAAGACCTGTACTGCAACCGACAATTTAAACCTTTTACTACGATCATAACCACTGTCTGATAAAATCAATTTAATATCCATTCAGAAGGAAATAAAATGTCTAAAAGGCTATGATTTTTTTTTCTGTTTATGGTTATATTTAAATAAAGAGGACAGCCAAAATTAATCTACTCAATAATACTGTTTTTACATGAATGAGAATTTGTGCAGTACTGTTTCTTCTAATACATCCCCGGTACTAAGAGGTACCATGTCTTGACACATAATTTACGTGAAGACCTAAAGGGAAATGGTGGCTAACAGAAGGTT